TACTGACAGCAGTCAAACAATTAAGTTACTTGACCGTTGTCAACTTACTGCAGCCCTGAAATTACTGACAGCAGTCAAAACAAAAATTAAGTACTTGACCGCTGTCAACTTACTGCAGCCCTCAAATTACTTTATTGCAGCTTGGTCCTCCGAAGAATTTCCTTCCATGGCTATATATCTTCATGGCCACCACATGGTAATGTGCTTGCCGCCAGAGTGGGAACACATGCCATTGCTTGTGAGCACATGCTCATCGCTGAGCTGATCACTACGCTTGCGGTCAGCCAGAACACCACCGTCACTATGCTTGCCCCCAGTCTGAGAGTGAGTGAGTGCATGTGAATCGCTGAGCTCAACACCACATTGTCTTTTTTTTTTTTTTTTTTTTTTTTTTTTGAAGTCTCACCAGGTTGCATTCCGAATTCCGATCGCGTTCCAGACTGGGCATTGTTGTTGTGCATTTGCTGCAATTAAATCCGACAAAGACCCTACCATGCGCGAGTGAGTACGCACAGAAACGATTGCCACAGACTTCGAGTGGGTTGGGTTGCCTTCGGGTGAGTACGACCCGTAACCCATTTACAGTCAAGCTAGAGGAAACTTGCCGAGTGGAGAGTGTGGGCAGGGAGATTATGCATTTTGTACCAGAAAGAGGTCAGGTTCTTGGGAGCAGCAGGTACTCCTCTTGGCTCCTTTCTGGTGAAAGGTGCAAGGCTCGCTGTGGACATTGATTTTTTTTTTTTTTTTTTGTCTTTTTTAAAAGGCTAATTCGTTAAGCCCAACCAGTTCAATTACCTGCCAAATACTATACCATATATTATTATATTGTCCATTATCATTCAGTATGATTCACCAGTACTTGGCCCAGCTATCGGCCCACAGAAAAAAAAACTTATCGATTAGAAATGTGTCTAGTAGTCGGATGAATTTGGGCCCTCCTGTACTGGCCCGTACATACGGGCACGACTACTTTAAAAAGTACTGGTGGTGGTTCAACCAACTCTTGTGCCAGCATCGTAGTTATCAATGACATTCCCCACACGCCTCCTGTAGAACGTCATCATAAATAAGATTGACTTCTGATTGTGCTGATCGCGCCAATGGAAGTGCTGGTGGTGCTGGTGGTGCTGGTGGTGCTGGTGGTACTGGTGGTGCTGGTGGTGCTGGTGGTGCTGATGGTGCTGGTATTAAAAGGGGATCTGCAAAGGCACTCCAGGATTGGAAACAAGCACTTCCGCAGTGCTGGTGGTGCTGGTGGTGCTGGTGGTGCTGGTGGTGCTGGTGGTGCTGGTGGTGCTGGTGGTGCTCATGGTGATGATGGTGGTGGTATTAAAAGGGGATCTGCAAAGGCACTCCAGGATTGGAAACAAGCACTTCCGCATTCGCAGCATCTCCACCGTCCCTGCGTAAGATCTCGATGAACTCCGGAATCGAACCCTCGGAACCAAAAGCCGGGCTAAGCAACCCCTCCAGTTTGGAGGAGCCATTGCGGAGAGGAATCACATACCTGGGTTTGAGTTTCCTCAGCAAATTGACTGCAGAGTCCATACCCTCCACTATTGCGTAACCCACCGGTTTGACGACCGCCTTGACGACAGGGGTAATTACACAGTCGATCTTCTCTTCAGGAAGATCACCTCCCCACCTGCAGTGCGGTTCCATATACAAGGTGAACTTGGCATTGGGTGGACGTGCGACAGAAAGGACGTATCCGTTCTCGCGCAGCTGCCACGGTGGGCCGATCAGATCGCCAACTGTGGCTGTTATGCTAACGACTGCTGCAGCTGCGCCCTCTTGTCCGCGGACCTCGGTTGTCGTCCCGTGTTCGAGATACGTGGTGTTTCGGAACAACCCGTCCATCATCCGCTTGGCATTGACGGCGGCAATCACGGGGACATTAGGCCTGTCCTTGGCCAACATTCGAAGCGTCGGCAAGTGGCAGTGGTCATCGAAACCCTGAGTGATGAGAATGCAGTCCACCTCAGGGATATCCTTAACAGTCATTCCGGCAAGCGCTACCTTCTTGACAGCAACGAGAGACGGCAAGCCGAAATCAAGGTCTCCGATTATTGGATCCACCGCGATTCGCACTCCGCCAATCTCAAGAAGGAAGCTATTCTGCTCCCAGTGAGTGTACGTCATGATCACACCTGTTTGCTGCTGAGCTTCTGACAAGCTAGCCGCCTCTGCCGCCGCATCCGCAGCAGCAGCAGAGTCTGCTCCCGAAGGCTCACTAGCTTGTTGTTGAGCTCCAGCGGTTGTTGCAACGCACCTGGTCTTCCCAACGTAAGGCGGCGACCTCCTTCTCCTTCTGATGGAGGAGCAGAAAGGTGATGATGATGATGCGGACCGGCCAATGACTAACGCGGCGGTTCCTACGTCATTGAAAGCGCTGCTTCTGCGGCCGATTGCAGAATCAATGGCTGCTTCTTGCTCGACATTGCAACTATGACACTGATGACAGAAGGCACACCTGCAAGCAATGGCAGCTGCTCTCGCGGACAGTGATTTTTCTGGGTCCGGTGCTGCATTTTTTCGCTTGATAACAATAGCAAGCCGACTGCACACAGCTGTTGAGCCAGTCAGGATGTGAGGCAAGCAGGTCGCCATTCTTCTGGCTTGACCCCCCTCAGTGGTAGCAGTTCAATTCCAGCCACCCTCTTCTGACTTGACCCACCTCTGGAGTGGCAGTTAATTAAAGCA